TAAAGAGATCAGCCACCTGATCAACTGTAGGAACATATTTGAGCTCAATCTGATTGGCAGCCACTTTTTCACGAATAAAATGGCAATCGATTTCGATGTGCTTGGATCGAGAATGAAACACAGGATTGGATGCTAAAGCCAAAACAGACAAACTATCACACCAGATAACAGGAATAGCAGAAGAAGAAACATAGAAATCCTTAAGCAACTGTTGAAGCCAAGTAAGCTCAGTTGTGGCATGAGCTAAGGCTCGATATTCAACTTCAGTGGACGATCGAGAGACTGTAGCTTGCTTTTTAGCTGACCAGGAAATCAAGTTTGATCCAAGATAAACACAATAACCAGAGGTAGATTTTCGATCAAGACTGTCACAGGCCCAATTGAAATCTAAAAAAATAGATAGAGAAAAAGGACTAGGAGTGAAAGAGAGGCCATGAGACAAAGTCCCCTTAACATATCTAAGAAGCCTCTTGACTGCTTGAAAATAAGCATTGGTGGGAAGATGCATAAATTGAGAAGCCTAATTGATAGCAAATGAGAGATCAGATTTACTGATAGTCAAATATTGCAGACCACCTACTAAACTCCTATACAGAGCAGGGTGAGAAAATGGCAGAAAATCATATGCAGAAGACACTATCTTAACAATCATAAGAGAAGAGCATGGTTTGCAGTCTTGTAAACCTGCTTTGTACAATAATGCAGCTGCATACTTGCCTTGAGATAAGAATTAACCATGCTCATGTGTATGAATTGAAATGCCTAGAAAATAAGAAAGGGAACCAAGCTCTTTCATGGAAAAGGCCTTGTGCATCTGCTAAAGAAGTTGAGCAACTAGGGCAGAATCGCTGCCAGTTAGTAAAATATCATCAACATACACCAAGAGGATGGTGAGGCTAGTAAAAGTGTTCTTGATAAAGAGAGAAGCATCATAAAGACTATTGGTGAACTCCTGAGAGAGAGCAAGAAGGTTGAAAAAGTAGAGTACCAAGCCCTAGGAGTTTGCTTGAGACCATAAAAAGCCTTCTTGAGTTTGCAAACATGAGTAGAAGATTGCAAAAATCCTGGAGGCTGGAGCATATAGACCTCTTCCTGAAGAATGCCATGAAGAAAGGAATTGGAAATATCAAGCTATTTGATAGGCCATTGAAATTGAAGAGCAATACTCAAGAATATTCTGATGGTGGGTTGTTTAGCCACTGGACTAAAAGTCTCATGAAAATCATTTCCTTTCTGTTACAAAAACCTATTTGCCACCAATCTATCCTTATAACGAGCAATAGTACCATTGGAATTTCGTTTAATGCGAAAAACCCACTTGCACCCAATGGCAATCTTATGAGGTGGAAGATCAACAAGGTCCCAAGTGCTTTGTTGTTTAAGAGCCTGATATTCTTCCTTCATGGCTTAAAGCCACACAGGAGATTGAAGAGCAACCTGAATAGAGGTAGGTTCAGTGTCAAGAAGAGAGGCAGTAGCAGTAACACACTTAGGAAGTTTGTGTTTGGATCTAGTAAGCATGGGATGTATGTTAGATATAGAAGAAGGAAGAGAATGAGGAGGTAAGTCAATGGTAATAGAAGAAATAGGAATGGGCTGAGCAAGAGAGCAGGAGCAGGAGGAGAAGAAAAATAACGCTCAAGAAAAAGGCTCAGAATGAGTTAAAGATGGCACAGAAAGAGATAGAATAGAAGAAGAAGAATAATAATAATAATAATAATAAGAAGGCGGCCTAAAAGGAAGCATAGATGAAGAAATGGGTGAAGAAGGCCAGAAAAAGGAAGTAAGAGCAGACAAATCTAAAGGAAAAAAAGAAGGAACTAAGGACTACTGAGAAAAAGGAAAACATGATTCATTAAAGACTACATGCCTAGAAATATAGACTTTTCCAGAAATAGGATCAAGACACCTATAACCCTTAATAGTAGGATGATAACCCAAGAAAACACAAGAAATTGATTTAGGTTCCAGCTTGTGAGTAGTATAAGGCTTTAACCAAGAGAAACATTGGCAACCAAATACTTTAAAAAAGGAAAAATCAGGTAAGGTATAGAACAACATTTCAAAAGGAGTCTTGAGATATAAAACACTAGAGGACATTCTGTTAATAAAGAAAGCAACTGTGACAATAGCATCAAACCAAAAAGTAATAGGAACAGAAGAGTGATGAAGCAGGGCTATGGCAGTTTTAGAAAGATGTCTATGTTTGCGTTCAGCTATGCCATTTTGAGCCTAAGCATAGGGACAACTGCTTTGATGAACAATTCCATGAGAAGACAACAAAGTAGCAATTATTTTATTAACAAATTCAGTACCACAATCAGCCGTAAGGATCTTAAGAGAAGTCTGAAACTGAGTTTCAATATAGGCTTTAAATACAAGTAATTTATCATAAACCTCACTCTTGTAATTCAAAGGATATGAACCCAAGTGAATCTACTATAATCATCCACAAACAAAACATAGAAACAAAATGGGGGATTAGCAGGTGTGAAAGGACCCCGCACATCACTATGAACCAAGGAAAATGGACAATTAACAGAAGTATTAGACAATTTGAAAGAAAGCCTATGAACTTTAGACACATTACAATCAATACAAGACAAGTCCTTATTCAATAAAATTTTATTTCGTAAAAGAGCAGCCATATGATGAAGCTTTAGAGAAGATGGATGGCCTAATCTGTGATGCCAAAGCATATCAAAAACAGGAGTAGTAGTGCTAGACTGAAAAACTTGGGGAAAGAATTGCTCAGAAGATGGAATGAACTAGTAGAGGCCATTGACATTAACACCTCTATGTAGAACCTTGTTCGTGCATTTGTCCTGAATGACAAAAGTATTAGGATAAAAAATAACAAGACAATTATGATATTTGGTAAGTTGATGCACAGATAAAAGATTTGAAGAGATGGTAGGAACATGAAAAAGATTTGAGAGGTGAAAAGAATAATGTGGAGTGGGCAAGTGACCTTTACCTATGTGACTGATTGGTAAAGAGGAACCATTACCAACTTGAACCTGTTCCTGACTTTGATAAGGCTGAAACAATTGAAGATTAGTCAAGTCATTTTTCAGATGGTTGGTGGTAGCAAAGTCAACATACCAAGGAAGTATGGGAGGATCAGAGGAAGGCTTGGGCACTGAAGCAGCATAGGCCTTCGACTGAGACAGAGAGGACTATGAGGAATTACTACGAGAGAAAGGCTAAAAATTAGATCCAGTCGATGAAAAGAATAATGTGGAGTGGGGAAGAGACCTTTACCTATATGACTGATTGAGGAACCATTACCAACTTGAACCTGTTCCTATCCTTGATAAGGCTGAAACTGTTGAAGATTAGTCAAGTCATTTGTTAGATGGTTTGCTTACCAGATCCTCATCATCAACTTTTGCAAAGGCTAAAGCCATTGATCTGAAAGTTCTTTGATTTGAGACAGATAAACCTTCATTGAAGATGATTTCTTACAGAGTGTTTGGAGTTTGGTTTTAAGTTGATAAATATGAGAACGTGAAATAGAAGTAAACTGCTTCTCCAAAAACTGTCATACCAGATCACTGTGAGTCAGATAAAGAACATAAAAATAAATGGATGAAGATAGAGTTGTAGTCAGACAAGTAAGCAAATGTGCACCTATTAGTTGCCATTTTGCATAACTTGGATTTGGAATAGATTTTCCAGATGCATCAATGAGTTCTGGGGATAGACATGGAATTGATCCATTTACATAATCAAGAAATCCGGTTGCTCTAAGCACATTTGTCATTTGTGTTTTTCATATGAGAAAATTGTTGGATTCGAGCTTCACTGTGATGAGAGAATTGAAATTTGAAACTAGTAAACTGAGATTTGATGGTAGAGAAGAATCTGCCATTGAAAGGCCGTGGATCTTGCTCACAAGAGCTCAAAGCTCTGATACCACATTAAGAACCTTATAACTCTTCGTCTTATTCAAAAGTATAGCTTACACTTGTATTTATACAGTAAACAAAATATCTAATCTATACAAAATATCTAATCCTAACTAACTCTCTTTAACCAACCCAACTCATGTTTAGTCTAACCGACTACATAACAAACTATCTAACCGCCACAACGGATTGCATTGTAGCATGCCATCTTAACATTATTATTACAAGTCTGTGATGAACAAGCTATAACAGGCAAAGGCTGCAGCTCAAGTGTGCTGTGAGATGGTGATTGCTACAGCTCAAGTTTACTGTGAGATGGTGATGATGGGATAACTCCGTCAGTCGTACCTAACCAACAAAGTGATTCTCACACGTTTCATTTAATGTTTTCGATTAGTGAATGAAACTATCACTTTGTTGGTTAGGTAGGAGACATACTCAGTCAAACTTTTTAGTTGTTGGATGATTTGTTGGTCCTCAGCCCCTTCCTCAGTTTCGAAAAAGTAGAAAGAATGTGTTTCACCATAACCCATACCAAAACTATAAACAAGATCACGGGCAAATTGTACAGCCAAACAACACAAAAGCTAGAAATCTTGTAGGTGCCAATAATAACCCAGAACTTTGGGATAATCTCCTTCACTATCAGAGCATAACTCACCAACAGTGCTCCCATGACAAACATTGGAATTGCTCTAAAGCAAAGTGACCATTCATTGACCAGTGACCATGTGTTTAGCAGTATCACAATCATACTCCCGGCAAAGGTGACAGTATTGAACACCAAGAAGTAGAAGATTTTTGGTAATCGATGAGAAGCCGATATAAGATCTTTAAAGCTTATTGCTGCCAACTCAACACCACGGTTTTCCCGTGGATAAATATTTGTCAAACTGAACAGACATGAGTAGGTAGCCCCGGCTAAGAAGATGAAGACGGCCAATAACACAGATTTTGTCATTGAGGAGAGAGATAAGACCATCATTTCTTTGAACTTGGGTGATTTTGGGATTGGAGGTGATGGTGGTTGGGGATGATGATGTGTTTGGATTTCAAAACTTTGTAGTGCATATCCTTCTTTGGCTCCAGCTATGAGTAGGTAGCCCCGGCTAAAAAGATGAAGACGGCCAACAACACAGATTTTGTCATTGAGGAGAGAGATAAGACCATCATTTCTTTGAACTTGGGTGATTTTGGGATTGGAGGTGATGGTGGTTGGGGATGATGATGTGTTTGGATTTCAAAACTTTGTAGTGCATATCCTTCTTTGGCTCCAACTTGAAGAAGTAGTTGACTAATATCATTGTCAATACTATCAGAGAAATTTTGGTTAAGGAGGTCTAACGCTGTGAAACCTTTCATGTTCTGTAAATTTACTTGCACCTCTGTAGAATTGAGTATCAGCTGCACAATCTGCATCACATTTAACTAGTAATCAATTAGAACTGAAATCGCATTCTACACATAAGGAACACTATACTCTAAACGGAGACCCTACAACCTTTTAAATATGACAAATTATGGTGGTAGTCTCTGTACTTTGATCATTGTATTATTTTAGTCTCTATAATTTTAATTGACTTGATATTGACCATGAATTTATACTTTTGTTTCAATTTGGTTCAATTAATTACAACTCTTAACATTTTTTTTAATAAAAAATACGCACATAAGTGTCATGTGTTATATTTTTAAGGATAAAATTATAAATTTACTCAACTCAGTGAGTTAACCTCGACCAATTTAGTGATAATTTAAATAAATAAAAAAATACTAAATGATATTATCAATTTGACTAAATTGACACAAAATTTTAAATTAAGGATCAAAATTGAGCTAATTAAAAGTATAGGAACCAAAATGACATAAGAGGTAAAATATAAGGACCACTGGTGTAATTTGCCCTTTTAAATATTAAGATAAATTACAAATACACCCCTTCAAGTTAATTAACAACTTTTAATGATATTAAAAATATATTTTAATTAATAATTTAAGTAAAATTATTGTTATATAGAAGAATGGTAAGGAATTTCATTTTTTTTAATTAATTTTGTTAAATAGAAAATTTTGAAAATGGAGTATTTATAATTTTCAAATCACAAGAGATAATATGTATTTTAAACAAACTTCAAATGGTGCATTTGTAATTTACCCTTTATATTAATAGTAAGAAATTAGGTAAATTATACCGTTGGTCCTTCGAGTTTGAGTTCGAAATTCATAATTTCAATTTGAACTGTTTGATCTTTACACTTTAATTTTCTTATAATGTAGTTCTTCTGTCACTTATCAAAAGAAACTATAAGAACCCCTAATATAATGAATAAATTACATCAGTAATCCTTATAATTTATTTTAAATTCTATTTTAATCCTTCTTCTAAGGTGACATGTCTGAATTAAACTATCCAGTCATTATCTAACTAGATGTAAGATGGACTCCAAGTTAGAAACCAATCTTATAACTTTATTAGGAAGAGATAGATGTAAGATGAGTCTCACTATTTAACTCATGTATGTGTTCCATTTTGTAAAAAATTTCTCTATTTCTAATGCAGTTGTATTAGGAAATTAACTAAACCAAGCATCACATATATATCATCGTGTATCTAAATTTGATTGGGTAGGGCAAGAGAACCAATACCTGGGGTTGTTTATGGGAAGTTGCAATGTGAAGGAGGGTATTGCCTTCATGGTCCTTCCAATTCAGTAGCTCCTCTTGCTTGTGCTTCTGAATTTCCTTCATCAAAACTTCAAAGGCACCATACTGCTTCTGCTTCAATGCAAGGTGAAGAGCAGTCTCTTGAAGAGAAGTCATCCTCTTGAGAGACTCTGGACATGCCATGACCAATGTCCTCACAACTTCCTCTCTCCCTTTCAACGCAGCGACATGGAGAGGAGTTCTAGAATTATTGTCTCTCACATGACACAGTCCGACAGTTAGCTCAGCGAGTGCTTTAACCACCGGAACGAGCCCATCTTCACTACTAAAATGCATGGGACTGTAACCCTCCTGGTTTTTCCCCCAGACCAATTCGGGTTTTAGCCGGATGATCTCCATTGCACACTTCACCTTACTCTGCTCACATGCAATGAGTAGAGGATTGCAGCCCTGACAGGGTCCATCTTCTTGTGCCAAGAAACTTTCTAGTTTTGGTCCCAATTCAGCAATGTCATCATGTTGAATAGCCTCTAGAAACCTCTCAGCCATTTAGGGTTAAGGTTTACTGATTTCCTTTGGTTGAGCTGGGATAGGGTTTCAAATGAGTTGAGTGTTGGGTTGTTCAAATTTAACTTACGAGTCTAACTGAAGAATCGTGGCTCGTTTTGCAGCTAGGTGAGGGCAGACATGGGTGGCTATTAAGCTGGTCTGGCAAACCCTAGCAGTAGAGCTTAGGCTTTAAGGGTTTAATATATATATGTATTGTAATGATGAAGCCATCAAAGGTATGGAATTAGCAAAGCACCTAGGTTGTTTCATGGAAATTTGGGTGAAATTGAGGAGGAAAAAAATGAATACTCTCTCACCGCGTAGAACAAAAACTTTCTCAGCCTTCGTACCTTATGGCAAAACTCATTTTACGAAGGCAATGTCCTTTTGTTTTCCATCAGGTTTCTGGAGACATCAGATGGGACCGACAGTTTAATGAAAAAAAATTTGGGTGTCTATATATTACACTTTAGATGGGAGTTGACTTTTTAACTATTTTAATCCGGAATTAAAAAGTTTTGTTTGAGGTCATACTTTTACTTTTGCAAGAAAAAAATGAAATGATTATAGGTTGAATATGACATTTTATCTTATTGACTTTTTAACTTATTTTGTCTTTTATAACTAAATAGTTAAAAAAAAAAAACCCATGACAAACATGACTTTATAAAAATTGCCATTCAACATCTTGACAGAATAATTACTTCATTAAGAAACCAAGAATCTAAAATTATATTGAGAAAAGCCTCTCAACTGAAAAAAAAAGTTCATATTAAGAAATTCCTATACAAACATGCGTATATATATAATTTTTTTTCCTACACAATGGCCAGCTTTGTTGACCATGGATTCAATATAATTCTATAATAAAATAAAAATAAAAAAACCGTATACGAAATCATTGTTAGTGTTCGTTTGACATGATTGAGGTTTTTTTTTTTTTTGGTTAAAATAGTTGTAAAAAGATAAAATAAATTAAAAAATTAATAAGATTAAATTTCAAATCCAAACTATAATTATTTTATTTTTTTCTCTTATAAAAATTAAAAAAATTTATTTCAAATAAAACTTTTTAATTCAAATTAAAATAACTAAAAAATTAAGAAGGCAATCTACATCCCCAAACGAAGCGCTATATGCCTTTTTTTTTTTTTTTCATTTTTATAGGTCCATGTGCTGGACAAAGATTTGACTCTCAAAGTTGATGTTTTGTCTTTTGTTTTAATTTTGGTCAATTTACTATATTGGGTTGATAATATTTGGATATCATTTATTTGACATCTCATAGAATGATTTGGTAACACATTAAAAAAGTCAAAAGTTAATTTTAATTCATTTTAAATCACATCATTTTTTACATAAAATAGTGAAAAAATTAAAAAAATTAAAAAAGTCAAAAAATTAATTTTTAACCATCTTTTCAAAATATCTCATATTGTAATAACGGATGTGTTTGAAAAGTCATTTTTCAACTAAATTATAATGTGAAAAAAATTAAATTATTTGAGAATGATTTTTTTTTTATAAAAAGATGTGTAAAAAGTAAAAATAATAATAAAAATATTTGATTTTTTTGTATAAACTTTTGGTTTTTTGATTTTATTACTCGGCTTGTTTGTGAGAGAGAGAGAGAGAGAGAGAGAGTATTTTAAATATTTCCCAAACATAGCCTAAGTTTATAGACGCAAAATTGGCCACATAAAATAATTTTAATCATACATATCAAATACTAAGACCCTTATAAAAGAAATGGTTTTACTCATATTAGTCCACTTATATTTTATGTGATTTTTTAATCATATATATCATACTAGCAGTTGACCCTTGCAATGCACGTGCTATTATTTTTAAAAAAAATATTTGATGGTACAATGTGTGTTATAAAAGAATAATTTAAAATTAAAATTAAAATTAAAGAATAATTTTAATTATTTATTTTGATAATATTAGTACTATCGTCCTATAAAATTGTTACTTGAACACTTATATATATTTTTATTTTAGTTAAATTATTTGTGTAGTTTAATAATTTTAATTCTGTCATATTATATAAATTTTGATCTGAAGATAGAAATGGAGGTAGTGGATCATTTAGTTGAGGAGAGGAGTAAGGCACAGTTGGATGTTGAAGCCATGAAAATCATATAACCATTTCCCGTGCTATTTTTTTTATTTATTTTTTTAAATATTTGATAGTATGATATGTGTTATAAAAGAACAAGTAAAGTATAATTTCAATTATTTATTTTGATAATATTGGTGCTATCATTATATAAAACTATTACTTGAGTATGATAAGCCACCTGTCACTCAGCCCACCCAAGCCAAGGCTTCAGTCGTGCAGCAAGCTCCACATGCAACAACAGCTCATACCAGTGCAGCTTAAGCTACATTCTAACACATGTGTTAATAGATAGAGGTAGTTAGTTTGTTAGGAATTAACCACATGTAGTTAAGTGTAAGGTTAGACAGTTATGGTCAGGTTAACCATTACTTACTGTTGTATATAAATAGTTCATCTTTGTATTTGATCAGTTAAGAAATAATATCAAGAGCTCAAATTCTCTTTATGTTATCAGAGCCCTAGGCTCCTACGAGCACAGTTCTTCAAAGGAAGAAGCTCATCAATGGCTTCTTCCACCACCATAGGTATACCAGAATCATCTTCTTCACTTCCTTCAAACCTCACATTGTTGATCTCGAATCTCAATGCTTTTGTTACCATCAAGCTTGATTCACCCAATTACATAGTTTAGAAGAATCAACTTTACAACATCTTAAGAGCAACCAAGCTTCTTGGCTATGTGGATGGATCTGAGGTATGTCCTTCACTAGTTATCTTAGATCCGAACAATCTTGAAATTCTGAATCCAAAGCATACTCTGTGGACTACAATTGATGCTCATCTCTTGAGCTGTATAACTGCAACTCTGTCACCTTTACTCTTCACATCTGTGATCCATTGTCAAACCAATCATGCTATTTAAAGTACTCTTGCCAAGAGGTTTACTTCTCTGTCTAGATCTCACATCCATCAATTGAAGAACAAATTAAATCACATTGTTAAGAAATGATCAACTATGGAAGAGTATCTGAACAAATTCAAAGTCATCGCATATCAGCTTGCTTTGGCTTCATCATCTGTTGATGATAAAGATTTAGTTCTTTTAATCCTGAATGGATTACCTGAGGAATATGATGCTTTCAAAACTACTATAAGAGCCAGATCAGATCCTATTGCTGTGGATTAACTCTGCAATCTTCTGTGTTCTGAATCTATCCATATAGAGGCCTCTCTTAAGCTTCAACATGCTTCAGAAATTCCAGGATCTGCTACCTATATTGCTCCTAGAGGCCATTATTCTAATAAAGGTAGTCATCGAGGCTCTTATAGGGGCAGAGACACTTTCAAAGGAAGGAATGGAGGTAGGTTTCGAGGTCAGTCTAGTCACTATCAGAGATGAGGTACAAATAAGTTTCAGAGAGGCAGACATAGCACTGCACACAACACAGGACCTAGTTCTGCAAACAACACAGTCAATGCTTCTTTAATCTGTCAAATCTGTGGAAAAGCAAATCACACTGCTCTAGACTGTTGGCATAGGTTGGATGCTGCTTTTCAGAATTCTCAGGCTTCATCTTCATCATACACTTCATCTCCACACAGCAAAGCCTATGTAGTTTCTGCTTATGCACCCTCAGTATTTGCATCTGAAACCAACTGGTTTCTTAACTCTGGAGCCACTAGCCACACGACTAATGATTTAAGTAATCTCTCCCTTTATCAACCGTATCAAGGCCATGATCAAGTGGCTATTGGTGATGGTTCTACTCTTTCCATTGGTCATACTGCTCCTTCCTACTCCCTATTTTCCATTCCATCTTACCAAAATGCTGTATGTTCCTACTCTTTCCTCCAATTTACTTTCAGTACATCAGTTAACCAAGGATAATCATTGCACTATTTCTTTTGATGAGGATTTCTTTCTTGTTCAGGACAAGAATACACAGAACATTCTGTATAAAGGCTGCTACTCCAATGGCCTTTATCCACTCATCTCTTCATCCTCTGTTGCTTATCCAGTCTGTCTTTCATGTTCCACTACTCCAGCTGCCTCACCTTTACCTAATTGGCATTCTCGACGTGGTCATCCATCTTCCAAGAAATTTCATCACATCATGGCTCATCACCACTTTTTTTTTCTTTTTTTCTTTTTTATCATAATGGCTCATCACCACTTAGTTCTTAAGCCTTCAACTTTGTGTCACAAGAACTTCAACTGGTGTGAACACTATTGTGTTAGCAAGAGCCATAGGTTGCCTTCTACTTTGTTTAATTCCACTGTCAACAGACCTTTGGCCCTTATACACACAGATGTTTGGGGACCATTTTTCTACTTCTATTTTTAGTTTTGAATACTATGTGTTGTTCATTGATGATTTTAGCAAATTTACTTGGATTTTTCCTCTTCATTACAAAAGTGAGGTGTTTGACAAGTTTCTTAAGTTTAAAAGTTTTGTTGAAAATCAGTTTCATACTCAACTTCAAGTTTTAAGGAGTGACAATGGGGGAGAATATCTCAGTAAGCCATTTCAACTTTTTCTCAAACAAAAAGGAATTGAGCATCAACTGACTTGTCCTCATACATCATCTCAAAATGGTGTTGCTGAAAGAAAACACAAACATCTCATAGAGACTACTGTGACTCTTATGCATCAATCTTCTCTTCCTTTGGCTCACTGGTTTAATGCCCTTGCCACTGCTGTCTTTCTTGTCAATAGACATCCTACACTCAAATTTCATAATCTCACTCCTTATGAGGTCTTGTTCAAACAGAAACCTGATTACATTTTCTTGAGATCCTTTGGTTGTAGGTGTTATCCATGGCTTAAGCCTTATACCTCTCATAAACTTCAAACCAAATCTATTCCTTGTGTGTTTCTTGGTTATCAACTTTCTATTAAAGGCTATAGGTGTCTTGACCCTGCCATAAATAACGTTTATATCTCCAGACATGTGTTTTTTGATGAATCTTCTTTTCCTTTTCAGTCTTCTACTTCTTGTTTCTCTTCATCATCATCAGTCCCACAATTGCTGGATTTCTTTTGGTCTCTCTCAACACAGCCAAATTCTTCCGAATCATCAAAGAGTCCAAATC